AAAAAAAAAAAAAAAAAAAAAAAAAAAAGTTGACAAATACTCTCTACACTACCCCTAATCATCAATTTTTTAAATATGAAAAAAAAATTTTTTGAACAAATTTAGAAGTGCCAAATTGTCTTGCTCAAAATTGCATCAAAATTGCATCTTCAAATATGCCCGAAGTTTTGTTGATATAATATGATATGAGGTAGACCGTACAATGCTAATATTGTCATGTGATTCAATATGAATGCATTCCATAGCTGGGGTCATGTTCTACCTGCCCTGCACAGGAAAATGCTTGGATCATGATTCAGAGACAGGATCAAAATCAAGCATCTTGAACTGAATTAGTGGTCAAATACACACAGAGAAGCTTTATTATTCATGTTCATGATGTTGGACAATGCCTTACAGCATTATTCATAATAAAAACATGACTGGTATTAAACAATCATTGTGCTGTGCTTCTAAAGGGAAGCATATGTTCTGTCTGACCAACTTCATATCTAGATGTATAAACTTGAGACCATGTTTAAAACCAAGGATGTGACACAGGCACACACACAATTAAACACAATAATTAGTACAACATACAACTGTTCTTTGCAATATGAAATTAAGTTTATCAAAATTACACAATACCCAGTAACAACCTGCACCAGGGAATTACAGCCAGGCAACAGTCCAGACTGGGTCATCTTTTGGACTCCCTTATTTAATAATATTTTTTTCTAAATTTTATTAAGACAAATACAGGAGGGAGGGAAGGAGAGAGAAATCCCCATCCCTTGGTATTCTGGATCTACCATAAAGACAAACCATTTTGATCTCTTCATGCTCCATATGAATGATGTTACTATCTAGGACTGAAAACTACTGAATTCTATACACACAGCTCAACATAAATCCAAACTCTAAATCTAACACATTAATTCAAGGAAATTCCAAGGTCAAATGGCTGTCATAAGTATCTGGAAAGGAATTTTATTTGACAGAATGTATTTATTCTGTCAATATAATCAACTGACTTTTCTGTGATCGTTAACACAAATATGTCAACATTTATTATGTTGTGCAGGGTAATCCGACATCAATAATATCACAGTTATTCAATACGTTCTGATTTTATTTGATGAGTAATCTGACAAGCATTATGGATTTTTATCCTGAGAGAGAGAGAGAGAGAGAGAGAGAGAGAGAGAGAATAAATCAACATAAAAACAATGTTAATAACCTATTGGATTTTGGAACATTGATAAAACAACATGTTCACATGCAAGCATGCATGCACACATATAATAGTAATATGGAATCAAACTCTATACATCATCCTCACATCTAAAATAAACCTATCATTTATCTCTGGGTTACAAAATCTATACACTTAACCGGGAAGCTTGAAGGTACCATTCACACCAGGATTGCTAACAATATTGGCTTAATCCGCCTCTTATACAGCTCTTACTATGAGATCAGTTTCTTCCCACATAACCTGAATCATGTAATACACCTAGTACACCTGACAGCACCTGCATGTCAGACAGATGTTACAGTGTTCACTGTCAGGTCACTTTTGTCCAGAACCTGTAGAATTAACAAGGGAACATGAAAGGGACTGTTAGTGAAGAAATACATTGAACTTTGTCTCATTTAGTTTCAAGACCCAAGTTTCCATTGTAAAACACCTTTTCAAATGCGGGCAGGATACATTCACACAGTGCAGTCTTTGGGTGTGAAACAATGTTGCCAAATGTTGGATTATCTAACACTAACCATCACTGACAATTGTACTTGCAGAGCTTCTCTGTTATAATAAATGTTCGTGTCTTTAGTCTATTGTCATGACAACCTGGGATAAACAGTGTTGTTCTTTAATATATGAACAGAAATAGTAAATTGAAAGGAAAGGGTCATATGTCATAAACCATCACGTGAATATTTCATATATTTACCTATATGTTATGTGAAGGTAACATTAAAATACACAGTCAAATTCATGTTTAAGAAACTGTTTCATCCACTTAGGCAAGTGCATTGTAGAATAGAATGTTTCTTTCACAAAGCAGTGAAAAATATTGCCTTTAAAAAGCTCCTCACTTTTAAACCTATGATGCAAAATGGGGGCAAGGTATATGTGGTATTAAAAAAAAACAATCAGGTTTAAAATGCTCTGCAGAATGGCCAAATGATGAGGCTCATGTAGTAAACAGTTGATACAGCCCCAAATAATGCAGTCATGACTCAGCTGGCAACTATATTAGCCACGACCATTTAGTTCATGGAAATTTGCTGCAAGAAATCACGTACTGTAACCTAAGCAGAGAGCAAAACAAGAACTGAAGCCTGTAATATTGGCACTTTAACAAGATTTACTTACTATGATAAGAAAAAATAAATAAATCAAATATTAGAAATGCCAACATAAATACTCAGTACAAATTCAGAGGAACAAAAGGCTGTTTTTAGAATATGATACCACAGTGCTGAAAATAATCAACAAGTCATTACAATCACACACAAAACATAAATGTTTAAAACTATGATTTATTTATATCAGTCGAAATAGCTGAACTTATAAATTCAAGATCATAAGTTCACTAGGGTATCTTTACAATATGGTTGCTAATTTAATAAAATGCCCTGATCTTTTTTCCTGCCACTTTTATGCTGCTGGGATTGATCTAGGGACTCACATAGGCATGGTTTCCCCATTAATCCAGAACAATGACTTCTGTACACTAGAAAGCATTGATCTTAAAACGGCACGCGAAAATCTGCAAAAAAGGAGCCTGGAGCCTGGCTTTTGATTCTAGATACAATATTTCAAGACTTACTGCTTCTCAATCCCATAAACTCCCATCAATAAGGATCATATTTGCTATTTATTATGTGCTCTGCTAGACTGGATCAATGGTATCCAAGTAATATTTGATGCAATTTTCTGGACTCAAAAATGAGGTAAACTGGTTCATTAATTATGATAGATGATTAAAAATATGAACATACGCTATTCTTAAGCATAATCTCTCTTTCTTTCAAACATATACACACAGAGAGAGAGAGAGAGAGAGAGAGAGAGAGAGAGAGAGAGAGAGAGAGAGAGAGAGAGA